TAAAAAGAGAAGATAAAATTAATATATTTTTGGTGTGGTTCTTTACTGACTATAATTAAGAAACTTCTCTCACCCGACCTAGGATCCCTTATTTCTTAATAATTTCTTGTCTTAGTAATTTCTTATGCTAATAAGAAAATCTTTAGATTTGGGTTCCGAAACTTTTTTATATATTTAGTAGACTTTTACCGTGACATGAAGTTGGAATGGAAACTAATACAATATTTGGTTTTTTATATGTTTTTATTTTATGTTTTTTATTTGCTCGTTTGCCGATTGAGCAAATGGTTTACCTGATGGTAAGCAATCAGCGCCGCCCATAGACACCCGCAACAGAGGAATTACGAGTGCGTTGCTGATCGTTTAGGGATAAGGAATTTGGAGATTTAAGGATTGAAGAGGGATTGGGGGAGGGGAAGGATTGGGCCTCCGGTAACCTCACTCACACGGCGAAACACAACGCTCGAGTATGACTCTCTCGGCTCTCCCACACTTAAATTGTTGAGGCAATACAATGATTATGAAGCTTGTTTCTATTTCTTGGCTCTTATCTCGCAGATACAGATATCTCTGTATACTCATCATAAGCTTCCAAAATAATAATACTAAAAAAACAAAAATAAGTACGACCTAAAGATGAAAGCACCTCCTTTTTGGTCGTCAGTTTATGACTGAAATATTCAATGTAAATATTAGACTGTAATTTCAATGTAGATACAACTATCCAAATAGGTTGAATACCAAATACAAATTTGAATTTCGAACATAATTCTGCATAGCGGATTTCAGTAGCTACTTGTGTATTGTTTGAGGTAGGTTCTACAGCTATTGCATTCAAGTGCCATCAGAAAATTAGCCGAATAATCCATCGGCATTTCTGCTCGGTTGATTAAAATTTCAGTACGAATTAACTGAACTAATTCTTGGATAACTATTATGCGAAATACGCCGAATCGGGTGTCCTGAGCTATCTTAAAAATATGAATAACGCATACTCATCATCATCAGTTTATGAGCACGCACTGCTACGCAAAGGTCTCTTCTCACACTGGCAAGGTTTGAGCATTAATCACCAATCTTGTTCAAGGCGAATTGGTGATTTCAAACTTATAATTAGAAATTATAAGTTTAGGTTTACTCACAATGTTTTTCTTCACTGTGTGTGAGGAGGTGAGGACAGAAGTGTCTTAATTTACTTAGAAAAGCCCTAGCTACATATAACTCGGAAACAGTCACTTTGGTACTAATCAGGTTTTGAACCTAATAAGTCTGTGTTACGAGTTTGTCATTGCAGTATGGACTTTCTAAAGTATTCCGCTATCTAAAGTGTGGTGACATTTTCATAGACAACACAAACATATGTAATTCAGTAGATGTTTTTTTATGAACTGGTGTGGTGATTTCGCTTTTAGGAGTCGCATTATAATAATGGTTGCAATCCGGGATTCAATCAAAAATTGGCAAATTAAATAATATATTGTTCTCTAACCAGACGTGCCAAATTGCCGCCCGATCGAATCATGACAGTTAACAAAGCATCTGATCTATAGTTGCGCGCACACATACTAGCTCTCGATAATTTGTCAGACCTGAGATCAAAGATAGAAGAAAGCCCCGTCATTAAAATCTATTCGAAACTAACCTAACCTACTTAAACAACAAACGTACGAATTTATTGAAGGAACAGGTTCTTTGCTACTAAGTATTCAGTATCTATCTTGTTCACTAAGTTATCAGACACAGACTGGACAGAATTTGTTTGTAAAAAATACCGCCATTGCATTTGTTCAAACTCTCGTTGAATGCACCTAAGTGATCAGAGGATTTTCCTAGTGGCCAACCCTGGATGCCAGAATCAGGCGAAACGAGCCGAGTGGTCAAGGTTATGGTGACTCAAAAGACAATTGGATGGAAAACGCCTCTTTTTGTGAGATCTTAATGTCCCAAAAAGAAGCTGTTAAATGAGTTCGCGAAGGGAACGATCCTGCTCGTAAAATAACACGGGGATGCATCCACCTTAATGCATTATTAGTAGGCAAACCTTTGGTAACATGTACCTAAAGTGGAAACTCTAGGTGCCCACCCAGTGACTTAAAAAAACAGTTACAAGTGCATTGCACAGCATAATTTTGCTAAAAAAGTTAGGAATCTTTTAAAGGTTTACTCCACGCTCTGTTAATAAAGAGTGTGGCACAAGGTGTCATTATGAACACTGTATTTGTGTATATTAATCCACTCAATGTACACTTCTGCGTATTTTCAAATTGGAATATCGAACAGATATTTTCCTAACCCCGAACTCAACGCAGTCTAGGTTTCAGTTGCCTATTTCCTTTCAAACAGTTATCTCGGTCGGAACTACGGAGATAGAGTATCGTGCGGTATCCGAATGGGTCAAGTTCACAACAGTAAGCAGGGTTTTGAATTAGAAAACCCCAAATCAGAGACAGTAGGTTCCAAATATGACATTAATGCTGCACCTCGCACCCAAATAGTTAAAAATAATGTCAGTATCATTTATAGTTTGAAATTAAATGTAGCAAAATGTTCGACACAATCACAGGATCCCGGACCTTTTGAAGGCGTACGAGGGGCCGAAGCCAATTCGCAGAGGCCCATTGAACAACTTTAATATAATCATTATTATTATTGGTCCAATTATTATGAAACCGTTTTAAAGCATTTACGATGATAAAATATCCCCATTAGGTAAAGAAATGTTCTCCTAAAGAATACATTTAGATTTAATACAAAGTAACTAGTTATTCTCGATAATATGACATATACCATCGCAGAAGATGCCAGTACAGAAAACAAAGACAAAAAATATTGGTAGTGGACGAGGAATACGGTAGTGAAGTTATAAGATGAGTTTTAATTATTTTGCTATTTAAATATCTACTCTACACTTTACTAAGTAACGTTACATTTTAATTAAATTCTCCGGTCTTCGATTCAGTTTACTTGGTAGTTGAAATAATAATTATCGTGTGTATATTTCTCTTTTAATGCTTCTTCGCTCAAAGACTACAACACAAAATATATTTGCCATTTAGGTATTATTTCTTAAATTGAGACAAATTTTGGCTGATATTGCTCAAAGCTATTCAAAATCGACATGGTCGTACGAATTAGGATATCAATTCATACTATCAGGAAATGGTTCTTAAAAAATCCTACAAATTTTCAATCCCGTAGTACTTACTTCTTTAAAAAACAGATGACTGACACCAAGATAGTTAGACGCCCCTGCAAAAAAGAGTCGCTAGTATGGAAAAAAAATACCAATAAAAAGATCTAAAAAGTCTTAAATATATAAATACATCTGTATACCAATGCACTATTTATCTAATATGTAACACCATCAGAATGCGCATGATTCATTATATTATAATACGATTAATGTACCTACGCACAGTAGCGACATCTAGGCATACGTCTCGTAACTATGTTGCCGTAAGCTCTCTCGGCAACAAAATGAATGTGCGCACGACCATGTTCTGTTTCAATTTAAGGTTCATGTGGTGGACGCAAGATGGCGTACTGGTGCGTAAGACAATAACACAATATGTACTATGATTTAAGCGCAATCTAGCAATGATTCTTTTTTTGACAGTTTTTCAGGTGTCGTAGTTAAGAAACTAGATCTTATTTGCCAATATTATTCTAAAAAACTTTACTGGTGTTTTCGCAATTAGATTTCTTATTGAAAAACGAATACATTTAATTCAGGCTAGAGATCGTAGTCTTAGTAATTAAGTTCTTAAGAGTCTATGATAAAGTTGTAGTCTTTTTGCAACAAAAATAATGTCGAACAAAGGCGGGAAATCTGAATTAGTTTTGTTGAGAAAATAAGTTATCTAATATTAAAATAAACTCCTATTTCACCACCTTCATATAACACTTACGTATGTACCACATAGTTTGTACAAATTGCGTTCTATATTCAAATTTACCAGGTACATAGAGGTCCGTACTAATCAGATGTTATGAAACAGTCCGTAACTGATTCTGAACACATAAACAAGGAGATTCAATAACATCAGAAACATGGTCATCTTCTAGGTGCATTTTAAATATTCCACTAAGACTTTAAATAAGGAAATAATAAACGTTTCTCAGTACAATCATATCTTTGCTTTTTGATCTGCTTTGACAACCTTAACGATAGCTGATATGATCTGCCACCGATTAGTTCCACCATTCTTATTTCATATATTATGGACAAAGTAAACGTAAGAAAATCTTGCAAGTTCTACATTGACTTCATTAAGATTGCCATCAACACTTCTACGAGTGTCTGAGCGTGAAGATGTAGCGTGTGATACTCTAACGTGAGGAATTATAACGTTCAGATTGGTGACAAAATTAACACTGCTGTGCCAAGTCGACGAAGCACCGCTGAAACGACATCGTACTACAATTCAATACAAGAAGTCTCATAAATTAGGACAATGCCTTCCAGATTGACCGAAGCGACCTTGGATCTAGCACATAGCCCATCTCAAAGTATGACATTTAAAAGCCTTATTGTAGGTTTCCGTCGTGATTTTAATGTTCGTTAGACGCACTAAAATTTTGGACGGACTTAGGTTACTTAATTGGGCCATTTTTCCGAATTCCCTTCAATGCGAAAACTAGGTGACATGCATTATATTATGCGTCATAGAGTGAATTTAACATTTGTTTACTGTTTAAAAATGGTTTGTATTGACTTTGTATTAGTCGTCAAATATTTTTGGACCTAATATTCACGTCCGTTAAGTCAATGGTTTAACAAACAAACAAACATTAACGTAGTCTATATAGGTATCTGTGGCTGGTGTAAGAATTATTTGGTTAAAGTAGCTTGCAGTTTAATGTACTGATAAACAATCATGTCAACTTACTCCTTCTTGATTAATAGATTTTCAATTTTATCTCTCCACGTATAAGGTTGACAATGTATTTAAGATAGTCGTTTAGTGTATGTTCTGAAGTGCACATATAAAATTAAAACAATGCATAAAAAATGTTTAATAGTGTTGGTTGTTTTGCTGCAACGTAAGTACCTAGTAAAATTTTTTGTTTTATGGTTAGTTTAGTTAGAAGATACAAGATATCTTAGTATACCATATCACCAGCTAGAAGAATTATTGCACAAAATTGCCCTGTCATAAGTGGAGGATTCGGTTGCGGTTCGGGACGAGGGCTTTGGCTTAACTGGAGACGACCTTTATAAAATTTCCTCCAATTCAAAATTTTGGTATGTGATGAAGTTCTTTCGTTTTTTCTCCTGCCTTATCTCGTCGTCCAACCCGAATCCTATCCCAGCTTACCGTATCAGACAAGCACATATATTATGAGGTCTAGACCTAAAACCCGGTCGAGATCACAGAAATCTTAGTTTACGAACTTCATACCTGCACATACTCTCTAAGATTTCAGAAGGGTCATGAAATACTTTTTGGACGAGAAAGTACCTACTACTAATACCTAATTCATAGTTAATAAGCTTGAATGCTCCGCTAAAATCAATTAATCATTGTTTCTGTTATGTATTCCAGTTAACAATATCCTGTCGGTGAAGCTGGATGTGGTTGACTGTGGAATAGACCACGCCTTAGATGTGTATGAAGGCGATGTGGAATTAAAGTACTATCCCTGGGTCGGAATACTGTTCTACAGCTATTGTGAGTTCAGATACCATGTTGCGTTTAGCTCATTCTACCTGATATAGGTAGTTTGGTCGTATAATAGGAAATATGTTATGTTCCTTCGATTAAAGGTAACATAACAAATATGTTATTAGCACTCTGTGACAGTTTCAAGACTATAGACCTCCTTTACATGAATAACTTTGCTTCTTCTTTTCTTCTCCTTCTTGGCAGGTCACTTAGAGAATTAAGTTGATCAGAGAGCGCTGCACTCTCATTTCTATTATTACTGTGCTTGTAACTCAATCAGCTATTACTTCACTTGAGCAAAGATTAAGGATACTCCGGTCACCTAATCTTACTAATATTATAAACTCGAAAGTTACGATGTTTGGATGTTTTTTACTCAATCACGCCAAAACGATTGAACGGATCTGGCTGGAATTTGACACCGGCATAGGCTACAGTCCGGAATAAGACATAGGCTGAGGACATAGGCTATTTTTTATGAACACACTTTTAAATTTAACTTACAGATGGTGAAGAGGGAGACAGTAGAGCAGTCACTTCAGTCATTCTAATACAGAGCGAGTTTGTCATCGCTGCGGCCGCCGACATAGGACCCATGCCTAAACGAAACTTTAGGTAACTATTTATGCAATGTAATCTCTATTGCAAGACGACTAAAGTTAATTTTGTAATCCATCTGTCTGGTAAAAAATATATTAAGTACAAGTAAAGATTAGGTCTTAGGTAAATATACAATCAAGTGCAAATGAGCTCAATATTTTTCAGTATAATTCCTGGATCTAGTATATTATGGCTTAGCTAAAAGTCAAAGTATAAAACTAAATTAACGTTTCTTAAAAATGTTTGGTGCTATGTATAATAAAGAACGGCAACGCATTTTAAATGTTGTTGGTGAGGATCCATGGGCGGAGCTGATTGCTATAGTGATTGACCTAGTGATCCGTCTTCTCTTATAGCAGGAGAGATAGTCATTAAGAGTCTGACACTCTCTATCACCCCACCCAGGGCAGAAATAAATATTAAAAAATTTCCACTCCTCAAAAAAACTAAATTTCCTTATCAAAGTGTGGGAGAACCATGTTTCGGCACGAATGGGTTGGCTCGACCGGAGCAGGAGTGATACCACGGCCTCATGGAAACCTGCGTTAAACAACCGTTGAACAAACGTTGGGTTCACTGTTTGAGTGAGGTAACCAGACGCCCAATACTTCCCCTGCCCCAATCTCTCCCCAACCCTAAAATCTCTAAAAGGTCGGCGCACCCGTAACTCCTCCTTAGTGGCGGATGTCCATAGGCGTCGCTGATTGCTTACCATCAAATAATCCGTTGACTCGTTTGCTGTCCTATAACATAAAAAAATAAAAGTTGTGTAAGTAAGCCATAATGGTTCATCAATGATGATGTCATGTTTACAGGAGAAGTGCCCGCGTATTGCTAGGCGAGAGCTGGAGTCGCCCGGGTCGGCGTGTGCGCAACTATGTGCTACATCCCGAGTACGGGGAGACTTACAACACGGTGGCGTTAGTGCAACTTAGCACCCCAATCAGAAATGGTCAGTAATACAATAAGATTTTGAGAGAGCCATGCTTCGGCGCGAATGGGCCGACTCGATAGGAGCAATACCACGGCCTTACACTAAACGGCGTGAAGCAGCACTTACGTTGTGTTTTTTGTATTCTAGAGGCTTCCTAGATGTTTTAAATTAAAGAATTTTTGATATCTTCCCCCAAAATACTTATTTCATGACATCTTATCACGTTTAATTTCGATTTTAGATTTTGAGGTTATTTGATGACGAATGTGTGTATGTGTATGGGAGTTTTTGAGTATGTTTTTAAAACTTACAATAGTTTTAGACATCAATTGTGTGAGTGTGTGTGTGTTTGTGTGTAAGTGAATCATTTACAAGTTTATATGATCTAACGTGACTTAAATTGTGTTTTCAGTTAACATCCGGCCAGTGTGCCCGCCTCCGAATTTATTGAGGAATCCAACGTTTTATGTTATAAAAATGAAAGAAGGTAATGTCAGTAGTCGCTAATTACGAGTAGTATTTAATATACCTTCGCAATAATGTGTTTTGTCCTAAATTTGTACCAGAACAATTTTTATGGTAGCCAATTTTGTTTGGTGAATTTGACCTTGAATAAATAACGGTGTCCTGGTGGCCTGGAGCTTAGGACGCCGGCTTCTCATGCATGAGGGTCCGCTTCAAAACCTGGCAACTACCAATGTAACTTTCTATGATTATTTAGACACCACTGACAAACGGTGAAGGAAAACATCATAAGGACACCTGGACTTATCATTTTTAATTATAAGTTTGAAATCACCAATCCGCCTTGAGCAAACGTGGTGATTAATGCTCAAACCTTCTCCGTGCGAGAATAGCTTTGCACAACAGTGGGCAGTTATAGGCTGATGATGATGATGATGATGACCTTGATTAATTTGAAATTACTACGGACATTTTGATTTGTCAAATGTCTTTACTTTTCAGTTTTATACGAATTATGTTCCTTTAAATATTGACCAGATTTGAACCAAAATAATCGTAGAAAGTTTTAGCAACTAAATAGAGTTACATATTTGTTGCAGACATAAATGTGCTTAGTAAAGAAGTGATCCGTGTCATGCATATTCCTGGAGATATGTGCAAGGAGTTCTATGTTGCAGCCAATGTAAGTAAGCTATTTAATTCAATTTATTGTGGGAGAACTACCAGGGGCTGGTTCTGGAAGACTCGACGTCTGCTCTTTTGCCATTCTATTAAACACTCATGTGTTAGGGGACATCATACCTTTTAATATCAGCTACGCCCTATTCCACAGCTTGCATATACAAAACATCAATCATATTTTCAGATTACGAGATTCAGCAAAAATTTTCAACAAACCTCATTAGGTAAATCACAATAGGTAATTGTTTCAAATTAAAAACTGATTATCTCAGATCAGAAGCCGTGCTTGTAAATTTCACCAAAAAAGGCATCTGATTAGGGCGATGTAGCCATCTCATCGAGCTCTCGAAACTAAATATAACGAATGTTTTAAGTGTGGGAGAGCTATGCTTCGGCACGAATGGCTCGACTGGACCGGAGTTATACCACGGCCCCACAAAATACCGGCGTGAAACGACCGACCCTAATACGCAAAAGGTCGGCAACGCACTCATAGCTCCTATTCCTATGTTGTTGCGGATATTCATAGGCTTGCTATCCTATCACAATAAAATGTATTCAATAGGTGCTCCGATAATTGTGGGTTGATAAATATCAGCCAATAATAAAATAATAATCTTTATTCCAGCTGTACAGTAAGAAGATGCGTCCGCCTCACGTAGCGTGCGCAGTGTCGGCTGAAACGAGCGAGGTGTGCGTTTGGGGTGCCGGTGGAGCGCTTGTATCACGGGACGTGTGGGGGCGCTGGATGCTAGTACGTAATCACTAGCGACATCTAGACTTTAGTACTAGCAACTATTTTTATGCAACGCATATGGTGACGTGAATCATATGGACTTATAATAATTTATTTGACACTAGCGGCCTGCCCCTCATTCGCACGGGTCCAACTATCTTGCGAACAACCAAAAAGTTTGTTCTTATAAGTTTAAAATCGTCAATCCCCCGCAATCCGCAAGCATGGTGATAAATGCTCAAACCGTCTCCGTGTGAGAAGACGCCTTTGCTCGGTAGTGGCACTTATAGGCTGATGATGTGTGATGTGTGGTTTGTGACATTTGTAATTCTTTAGTTAGGGTTGGGTGTGAGAGGCCCAGGTTGTGGAGCTCCTTCTCGCTACCTCGACATGATGAGCTACTACCCCTGGATCGAGAAAAGTCTCGACGATTTCAACAGGGTCAGTCTCTCAAAAATATCAAAGAAGAAATATGTACTGCGTAGTAAGTACATTTTTATCAACTATTGTAACTAAGGTTATTTGTATTCAAATAAAACCTCGCCTTACTGTATTACTGACATCATAAATAATTAAATAATATTTTTTTTACCAAATTTTTTACAAGAATAACAATGCAGCCAACTGAAAGAAAGACTTGTTTTGTGAAGGGAAAATCATCAAATGACTTCTCCCGCCCAGGGTCGGTGGGAAAAAGTCAAACTCTTTCCGACTAAAAACCCCCATTCTTTCTTCTGCTCTGGCCGCGGTGACTCATTGCGCTTACCCCGCAACCCCGGCTGAACATCAGCCCTATAGAGCCCCGTCTGTGGTGGTCTATTAGCTCTCAGAGGGGCGCGCGGAACGCAGCCGTCGCTGGTTGGCAGCGAGCTGCCATTACTCGCCCTCCGCGTACCTGTACTTACGGTGGCCGGAGATCGTCTCTCGACCAGATATAGGCACTTTTCTTAGTTAAATACAAATTAAACTTAAGTTATTTGTTAGCATTGTTTTGTTTCATGACAAAATAACAAATAGACAGTAGCTAATAGCCAATACATGAATATAATTTATCTATTTCAGCAAGCAGTATATACCAAAGATTCGGAGCCTGTGATGAAGAAGAGAAAATCAATTTGGTGTTCAGAGAAACTATTGTTTTGAGGACTGACAACAATAAATACCAGTATTTGACTTATAATGTAAGGATTTTACTTATTCTGATTATAGATTCTATTATTTTCAAATAAATATTGTCGAAAATCGATCAGGTTGGTTTACCAGATGTTTCTTTCCCTAAGCTACCCTAAGATTATGATTAGGTATTAATTTATAAGAAACAGTATCAATTTCACTTTTTGTTACTGCCGAATGCCGATCACCGCGTACAATTAGCATGCGCAGATGGATTAAGCAATCAGCGCCGCACATTGACACCCGCAACAACGGAGGAATTACGAGTATCTTGGGGATTAGGGTTTTAGAGATTTAGGGATCGCAGAGGGACAAGGGGAAAGACGGAGCCTCTGAGCCTCTCACACTGCGAAACACACAATTCTATAGTTGTTCCACGACGGTTTTCTGGGCCGTGTTATGACTCCGGTCGAGTTGACCCATTCGTGCCGAAACACGGCTCACCCACACTTTTATCTGCCAAAATGTAGGTGAACATTAAAATTGTTTACTACAATTAAAAAAATAAATAGATATAATAATGAATCCTCCCCTGACCTACTTATTAAAATAATAAGAATTAAATTATCTTTAGGTAACGTTGACTGATAACGTGGAATACTCATGCATGACTATGGAACTTGTCAATGCTTCTGCCGTCTCCGAAATGAGAATCAAACACTTTTGCAACCGGAAGAACTTTGAACAACCATGTTATTTTTATAGAGGTATGTTACGTGAACACGTTGGTCAAGCGAAATAACACACAGATTTAAAAAACAAAATTGATACCTGCTTTTATGACAAAAAAAAAACTACACTATCTCAACACAATCCCGTTAAAAATTCATAGAAAACATTCGATTTAGGACAATTGATAATAAGTATTGTATTTGAAGCCAGATTCTTTGCTGGTCTGATTGGTACCTGGTATTGTTATCTGAGGCGACGCAAGTCCACTCAACTTTTATTAACAGCATAATTTCATCAAAAGCAACATCATCCAGCTGTTTCGATCCTTTAAATAAGTTTCACAGGTTAATTTTGTAAGCAACAATCCAGCTTTCCAATTATCTACTGTCTAATAGTCAAACATTTCTTTCCATAACCAAGCAATCAATGAAACTATAATAATATCCAATCGTTCCCCAACAGGTTCAGTACTGGAACTATCAATATACATAATGTTCTCAGACAAATGCTTATTCGAGATGTACCTGTGGGGCTTCAAAAAGAATATGACGTTACTCGACATCCAGGAATGGAAATGGGAGGAGGGCACGTACTATGAAGACTTTACTATGCAACGCGTTGAGTATCGAGGTCCATCTTATATGACAGATTTTGGATTCGAGCCTCTAGATATTGGTATGTGGGTACCCGAGTACGATATATGGACGACCACGTTACTAGACAATAGTACTACACCTACACCGCCACCCGTTAAAGGTAAGGAAATATTAAACAAAAATCTCATTTTCTATGGAATTCTAGGCAAACTGGCTTACCCTTACCTGATGATAGTAGTGGTCAGGGTCACTGCTAAGGAGTCACAGGCTCTTTAAGGAGTAGCTACGCGCGTTTCTGTGAGTCATATATTAGATTTGACTTAAACAGATAGATCAGTCTTAAGGTGCCAGACGACTCTATTGAGGCCTATGTCACCTCCTAAGCGTTCAACTCATGGCACAAACGCATAAGGTGTATTTTCTGACTGATAATGATGAATACTATGCATTACAATTATGAACATTATGTTGCGGCCGAAAGGTTCATTTTGACTTACTTATATTAGGCATCTTTTTCCTGTCGTTTTCGTTTATCGGTATTAGGATATTGGCATTCTAACTAGTCTAATTGCCAATGTTTGACCATTTCTCATGCAATTTTTCTAGTCTCAACACGCTTTTATAAGGTCAACCGGTAATTAATTGTCTAATAGGTATAATGTAAAAATATAATTGTTTATCATCATACAATTTGGCATTTGTATGTACGATTATTGGATTGAGGGCATATTATTATGATTAAAAGCGTATTTTTTTTATTTAAGTACTAGGTACACTGCTTATTGTGTACCTGGTAACTTGATTTGATATTGACAAACTCACCCACGATCTGTTAGAAATCAATTTTGAATAAATAAGTTCACTATTTGTACCTACTCACTACAATGTTACCGCTTAACATACTACATAATTGAATATGTATTTGCTTAATAATACCTATATGAAAATATTACAGTGTCACGAACACGACGAAAAAGGCCGACAACAACGACAATCAAAACGAAAAAGACGCCGAGACGAAAAACGAAAGCACGTTTACAAGGATAGAAGAGGGAACTCGAAAATTACGGCCTCACGGAAAACCGACTTGAAATAACCACAGCGTTGTGTTCCGCCGTGTGAGTGAGGTTACCGGCCCAATCCTACCCCTCCCCCAATCCCTCCTCAATCCCTAAATCTCCAAATCCCTAATCCCTAAAAGGTCGACAACGCACTCGTAACTCCGCCGTTGCGAGTGTCCATGGGCGACGCTGATTGCTTACCATCAGGTAATCCGGCAGCTCGTTTGCCGACCTATTACATAAAAAAAAAATAGAATACCTTAAAATACTATTGTTTATTGTACTACCTATCCACCGATCCATTTGAAGTCGGTGTCTTTAGTTTAGTGCTTTATCCGTTTACCCACACCAAACAACGAAACAGATAAAGATAAATATGTAACAAACATATGATATCCATATTATTACCCTTTTTTGTGAGGGAAAAATCATCAAATGGCTTCTCTCCTCTAGTTTGAGACGAGACGTAGTGTAAGGACTCTTACTGACTAAGAACCCCCTCTTTCCTTCTCCTAATTAAGGTCGCGGTACCTTAAACGTGCTAGCCAGGCTATCGGCATTATATTAGCTCTTTGAGGCATTAAACTTAAAACATACTGTGTATATGAAATATAACTCTATGATAAAAAAATGCCAGACTAATCACGCAATTTGCATCTAAAAAATTTAGGTAGATAATCTATATACAAAATAACCCAGTATAGTATAGTATGAACTACTACTCTGTCACAGAATTATCTGGTACCTACTTGTATGAGGGTGATGAAAAGACCTTTTCTGGATAATAATATTATGTTAAGGAAATAAATGATATTATTAAGATTTATGTATTTTTATTTCTTGAGACTTGTACAAATAGAGGAGAGGTTACCGTAGTAATAAATAGTGCCGCAGTTACGACTTCTTAAAGATTGTGGGTAAGATTTCCACGCTACCTCTACGCTGATGTTTAATTTCAATTCAACAAACATTTATAAAAAAAATGTTTTCTTGGTACCTTCATCAAAATTAATTTTTTATCTTAGAAAAAAATAAGGGAATTACTTCGATATTTAAATATTTCATTGACTCCGATTGAACAAACAGGTGGCTCAGTAAGAAAATGGTTGCCTGATAAATAAGTTCGGCTAGTGTTTCTCTTAAAACAAGAAAACTTTTTTTGAGAGGATAAATTATTTAATGACTTCTTCCGGCCTGGGTTGGGGCGAGAGGGTGTCTCAGACACTTAGTTACTTATCTCGCTATAAACCACCCGGTCTATTCATCCCGGTATATCGTATATTGTTGCGCCTGCACCCACCACCCCGACTGAACATAAGCCCTAATTGGGCCCGTCTGCGTTGGTCTAACTTTGAGCCGCCGAACGCACCATGGCGTACGCACGATCTGCCCAATCTTACCCAGAGCTGGAGAAGGCATTGATGATTTTCCCTATCTAAAAATCAGTTTGTACGTACTGAGCTCAATAATATTTAATGAAACAAAGGAATCGAAAAAACACACTTTGTTTTAAATCATTTTCCACTTTATTCAAGCACATAAGGCCAAAAGCTAGCGCATACTGCGCCCTAAACCTTTCTACATTTCAATGTTCTACCCATTATGGGTGAGTTTGTTCTATCATGGGTGTAGTATCACAATTTAATATTACAATGCGTTATCAGTGTGGTTTCAAATATATTTTCAGGTTTAATAACACCATAAAATGAAATTGACACCATCCTTACAGAGCAAAAAATGGGTCGTTAGATAGAAACTGCGCAACATCGCTCTCCGACAAACTATGACAAATACCAACCCACCTGCCAACCGTGAAGGCAAAAGCAACCTCTCTTACACAGATCTTTCTGCATCGCACAGCAAAACTTTTTACTGAACTGTCGAATGTGGTTTCCTAACCGATACGACCTTCACACCTTTAGGAGTACACTCTTGTTCTCCTTATATTGCTGACAACGTACTTATAACTTCTTTGTTGTTGCGCAGCATGTCAGTGACCCAGGCGTATTTGCCTCCAGTAGCGTGCATCTCTACAACGTTGTGTTTCGCCGTGTGAGTGAGGTTACCGGAGGCCCAATCTTTCCCGTCCCCCGATCCCTCCTCAATCCCTAAATCTCCAAATCCCTAATCCCTAAAAGGTCGGCAACGCACTCGTATCTCCTCCGTTGTTGGTGTCCATGGGCGGCGGTCATTGCTTACTATCAGGTAACCCGTCTGCTCGTTTGCCGACCTATTACAAAAAAATAAACTCCAGAAAACAAGAATAGACAGTACTCATATTCCAGTAGAGAAATGTCACAAATCGTCTAATCGTTAGACTCTAAAAGAAAGGTGACTCTCAATTCGACTGTATTTTTTGTGCATATTATCGCAAAGGCATTCTACATTTATAGTTCGAAAATTTTTTTTTGCATTCGAAACAGTAGTGCTAATTCTGGTCCCAGTATAAAGAGGTTTGGTCACAGTCCAATCACAAATGTGGAACATATTCCAGGGAACTCCTTAAAAATCAATAGAATAAGATCTTTTTTTTGAGATTGAAATAACAGCACCATCTCACCCTGGTCTCAGGGACTGTTAGACTCTATAAAGTTATAACAGTTTTAGCGCCTGTTTTTTTATCATAGCAAAGTTTTCGTAAAGGGATATATTTTAATGATGTTCTATTAAATGGATTTTAAATAAATACTGCATATTTCATTGGCACATATTTGGTGCAGGAATAAACGTCGAGTCAGTCAATCAGTCAGTAAACGAAGACATTCAGCTTGAAAATTGACAATTTTTTTAATTTCAACTCGTTTTCTTTCACTATAAGAACTACATTTAGATTAGGAACTCCACCCTTAATGTTTTATTTATTTCCAAAAAACGTATGATAATTCTCAATTGCTTCACAATAATACATATATTAAAACAAATACCAACTAATTTGTATTGTATATGACGGAACGTCCTCTGTTGTCAGGTTGCCATGTGCATTCCTATCATCATCCATCGTTGCAGAATTCAAAAATAAGGCACCAGATAAATGTACAGCACACGTATATTCAATTACCAATCTTAAATTATTTAAATAACAAATCACACCGCAGATCTAATCGGATTGACAGGTTCTTCAGCTTAGCATTCGAAAACGACCGTCCATAGATGCGCGAACGAACGCACCAACCATAGCTGAATGATTGAGTAGCGAGTGAAGTCGCTGTTATACCGACAGTTACTAATAATACTAGTCTGAATAAAACCTTACAGGGCCATCTATTTTGAATACTTATAAACTAAAATTAGTTCAACGTGTTGTTAAGAGATGACGTAGTGAGCGTTTTGTTATTAACACTGCGACACGGCCATCCTGCGCTTCACACGTCCTCGTGTGGCTCATCTGGAAAGGAGTAATAATCCAGTGTACATTTCTTTGCTCGGTCATGCCTGACCCTAATTATGTAACGGTTACTGAATAGAACTCAAATTCAAAGTAAATCTTTTGTTTAATCTGATTGACTATTTAGTAATCAATTCTTATTAGTGATTTTAACTTCCTCTTTCTTGCAACAAGTCTAATGGCATAATCAACTACACACTACACAGTCACTTAGCCAGTGATCTGTCTTCGCCACTTCCCCAGCAGCGGTATCGTAGCCACTTAACCAGCGACACGATTGAATATTCATCTGCCGCTTAACCAGCAACAGGATACTCTAATCACTTAACCAGCGATTGAGTTTACTTCATTTTTTTTTATATCATCGCTTAACCAGCGGCTTCGCTTAACCAGCGGCATCGCTTAACCAACGGCATCGCTTAACCAGCGGCATCGCTTAACCAGCGGCATCGCTTAACCAGCGGCATCGCTTAACCAGCGGCATCGCTTAACCAGCGGCATCGCTTAACCAGCGGCATCGCTTAACCAGCGGCATCGCTTAACCAGCGGCATCGCTTAACCAGCGGCATCGCTTAACCAGCGGCATCGCTTAACCAGCGGCATCGCTTAACCAGCGGCTCATAACATATCAATTTCAGTTGCACACCGCGCACTCACTACGGCAAAACCGGAGCTACGGCTACAAACTGATATATGACAAATAAAAATCATTTTCTTTTTTTTATGCCATGAGACATGTAGTAATCAATTACATCACTGTATCTTTAACCATTATTTATAAACAATACTTTACACACAATAGAAAATCAACAAAAATCTTAATTATTTTA